TTTTTTTTTTTTTTTTTTTTTTTTTTTTTTTTTTTTTTTTTTTTTTTTTTTTTTTTTTTTTTTTTTTTTTTTTTTTTTTTTTCTGTTTTTATGCTGTCTCAACAATTAAAAAAAAGGGTTGTCCCCGTAGCAGACAAAATTTCAGTCGAAATACTTGAATATTAACCTTCCCCACAACAATGTCGAAAAGTATTGACTGTGACTCAAATTTTTGTGGAGTTGTGATGGTCAATCACGGAACCTGGGAGCTAGGAGACGATGTTTTGATAGAGAGTTTAGCAGCTGGTTATCCTTCCCGGAGAAGATTAATTTAGTTTATTTAGAATAAGTCTACTAGGCTGTTCTTTTATGCCTTCTTTATTGAATATATTCCTCGTGTTCTTATAAAAAAAATCCTGGGAACATGCACAACTTGCCAGACCCACCTTGTAAAAATTAGATTTTGGGTAGAGTGAAGAATGTGATGTAACATAATCCAGATTATTTCTTAGCATGCAGCGATAATGGACTACTTTTCACTAGACTGACTAAATCACAGTGCACGCTATTTAGTATTTCTGGCTGTTCTGACGATTGTGAGATAGTTACACACAAGTCAATTAGTTGTGAAAACAGATCATTTCTATTTCAGCATCTTTCATTTTTCGAATGTAAATATTTGATAGGTTTACACTGAATCAAAAGGATAATCGTAGAGAGACAAGCCTAAAGAAAAATCTATGAGTTCAGCTTCTCTCCCAACTCGAACTCCCGAGTCCAAAACTGTCACCCTTCTGTCTTCGCTTTCCCAAAATACTCCTTTGATTCTCACCTCATCCTGACACAGTAACGAAGTCGGTTACTTGGAGCTCACTAATATTTATGTTATTTCTACACTAATGGATTCCCCTCCTTCCCTTCCTGCTATAGATGTAGACTATCTGGAACCAGAAAGACCACCCTTACAGATCATGTATTGACCGACACGTTCTTTCACTGAATCGAATAATTAACTCATTGGTAGTTTTGCTGCATTTGGATTTTTTCTCTGGAAACAATTGCATATATGCCCTGTTGCTTATTGTATGTGCTTCATCCTAGGTTGAATTCTCTGGTTTTTCAAGGGGAGGGCCTTGCATTCAGGAAGTTGCACTAAAATGGCGCAACATGGCAATTGATAGTCGTAATAGGCGTGGCGTTTCTCATATAACTACTGGAAGCTCAGGAAGTTATGAACTGTCGTCAAAGACATCGAGCCAAGAAGCTGAAACCTTCCTTATGAATGCCATAAACATGAACTTCTTTGAGCGTTTAAACTTGGCTTGGAGAATTTTATTTCCAACTCCAGCATCTAAGAGAAACTCCAACGCACTGATCGCCAAGCAGCGACTAAAGATGATCCTGTTTGCTGACCGATGCGCTGTTAGTGACGAGGCTAAACGGAAGATTGTTAGCAACATAGTGCGAGCTCTATCAGATTTCGTAGAAATTGAATCGAAGGATAAAGTTGAGTTGAGCATGTCAGCAGATGCTGATCTTGGAACCATTTATTCTGTGACAGTACCTGTGAGGAGGGTGAAAAAAGAATATCAAGAAGAAGACGAGAGTGGAACGATAACGAACATAGAATACAAAGATAAGGGAGAGACATCTGGTTCGGTCGACGTGAGGTTTGATTTCTTCATTCCAGATTGAAAAAAGAACATCAAAAGCTGTCCTATTGTTGAAATGGATAAAGAATTTGTATTTGAAGAGTGGCAGTAACCAAAGGTTTCTTCTTCTGTACATAAATTGTGTATTGATTTCTATCAAATTGAGATTGTAGGTTGGATTTAGTCCTTTTACCGCAAAGGGCTTTTGTTTTGCTGTGGTTATTTATGCGTAGTTGTGTTATCTGTTTTCATATGCACCACGTTTGATCTGGATTTCATTGGTCTTTCTAATACAGGTTCGTTCATATATATATATATATACACACACACACATACTATACATACATGTGCGCCTGACTGTTTGATAGACAGCCCAATGGCCCATTGAAGGAAGAACTCATGAATAAAATAAATTGATATCTCTTTATACAAAGGCTGAATTATAGGCTAAAGCAGATTAGCTCTTATACCATTTAAATTTGATAAGGGGCTCAGATTCAATATAACATTAATAAAATAGATGATGCAATAAACATAAAAAGTAGATGATGCGTGAAAGTCTAACTTAATAGCTAAATAGCTAAACTTTCAAGAGTGAAATTCTAACTTCAAGTCTAATCTGTCTTTTATTTATAGTCTTTCCCCCCAAAGAAATTGATAAGTTACTCTGATACTATAATAAATTGTGGAATTAAAATAATAAATAAAGTTTTATAACAATTTATCGATCAATAACTTCATTTAGTATTTAAAATGTGTCTATTTTTGTCTCTGAACTACTATATTTTATTGCGGTAATACCACATGAAAAATCATGGATAATGCCTTCAGATGAAAAAATTATGGGGATAATGTTTGATTGAAATAATTACTACGCATTGTCGATTTGATATATTTTTATTTTGATACCAAATTGTGTCTAAGTCATTAAGTCGGAGGCATGAATAATATTATTTACATTGAATTTTTATTTGAGAAGGACTAGTCATGTGGCCCAAGTATAATCATCAATTAATTGAGAAACCAACAAGCACTAGAAATACTTGGAATAATCGAGAGTCCCCATATATCATTACGAATCAAATGAAAATGGGTAGAGTTTTTATTTTGATTAATGGAAAAAGATAACACGATTATGTTGGACAAATTCACGTTTATCACATGAAAAATCAGAGACTTAGAATCCTTGATACAAATTTGAAAACATAACTTTCATAGTTCTAAATGAGGTTTGACCTATGAAGAAGTGAGGTAACCAAATCACATCTTTACTCGAGGAACTAAGATATGAGAGAGTGTAGGGCAAACTGTTCACTAAAGCAATTGAAAGTAGTATAGACTATTCAATTCCTTAGCAAGTTCAATCATCGGTCTCAAGTTCTGGTCTTGAAACACGCAACATGCGAGGAGAAAATAACACTATAGTGGATGTCATGGATAAGTTTTGTATGAAAGGAGACTATTAGATAGTTTAGGAACGTGTAAGATGTCTTTTGCTTAAGAGTTTGAAAAATGAATACATCACCTACATCTGCAATCGTGACACTGATTCCATTTGCAACTATAATATTTCGATTACTGGGACATAATCTATATGTTTTAAAATATTATGAATCTAAAATTCAAGAGTTAAGCTGACTTATCTCTTTAAAGGTGAATGAAGAGTTACATGAAATCATCAAGCTACCGAAAAGCTTGAAACTTGGTGGTTTATTGAGCGAGTTCAAGAGCACCTTCACTAGTGGCTTTTGCTCTAATGGACTCCTCTCGTGGCTTCGACATTTCTCCCTTGTTTTCCAAACTACAAATGAACTCACGTGGGTTTGTGAATTGATGGATGAATGGTTGAATTGATTGATAGTGAGCTTGTTTAGCTATGAAGGCTCCAAACGAAAAAAAATCGATAGCTATAAAGGCTTCGAATAAATTTTGTTAAAATGGAAGATCGACCACTTTGAAGTATTTTTGTACTCGATTCAAACCTTGCCTTTGTCCTTTCCATTTACTCATCCTAACGCACTCCCTCAACCGAGATCCTATTTGTAGTTCAAGATTAATGGGCTTGCAAATAAAAGGTACCATAAAGCTTATCAAAAGAATACCCATAACAATTTCAACTACACCAACAACAATCTACAAGTAAGAACCTTACATAAATGGCCAAAGTCTCTCTTTTTTTTTTTTTTTTTTTTTTTTTTTTTTTTTTTTTTTTTTTTTTTTTTTTT